GGTGCCTAGTTCTATTTGATTCCAATTATATTCCTTTTCTTTCAATTTAGATGACACATTTTCCTTATTAGTCCGTTCCAAAAAGAATGACACATTTCTATAATATACATATGAGAATGACAAATACTTCATCTAAAGAAGCATACGAGAAGGACAAATACTTCACCTGAAGTCCATAAATGCTAAAGTAGTTTAATCTCATATAAGTTTTTCTTCATAAGGCTAAATTATATAATGCTATTTTTCAATGAAGTAGTGTTTAAAAAAGAAGTGGTCTCGGGTAGAAAACCATCAGGGCATTTTTCAGTAGTGGATGTTTAATTCTGCAAAATGAGGTGACTTAAAATTTTCTAAACAATTAGAGAAGCAGACATTAATTACTCTTTTGCTTTCAGCGTTTGGCTAGAGATAGACAATTTACTTTATTCTTTTGATTTCTCGAATCATCTTCGACCAAACTGCAGTGCTGTTATTCTCAGTATCTACTTACAACATTTCATCGACACATTGAAATAAAAATCGCTTATCTTAAAAGATTCGATTAATTTCCAGCAAACATTATTCAGATCAAATACTATTTTGCTTCACTCCTCACACTGCAAACTGCTTGGACTACACATTAAGAAAGTCCAACAAAGACAATAAACAAGATATAATGTCGAACTACATGGAGAAAACGAAAAAAGAACATTGAGAAAAGGGAAATATATAAAACAGAAAATTAGATACTAGTAGTTATTTACAATGAAGTATAGAACTCCTTTAAATTCAACATGAGAAAATGTTTGATTGAAATAGATTGCTTATTTTTTTGGAAATACTTTATTGATTGTTTACATCGAGTACTCTACGCTTCTTAAGGATAGTTATAATCTAATCCAAGGAATGACATGAATATTTTCAGGTCCACATTACTGTCCTTTGACTTTATTTTGCGTACAGGTCAGAAAAAGAATAAGGAGGATGAACTCTTAATAGCCTAGTACACAAATGGGACTATTGCTATAAGTCTATAAATCTCTATTTCCGGAGTAGTAGATTAACCAAAGAGAAATCAAGGATTAATATAGCTATTATCATTTATCCCCATCTCTAAACAGATTATTATGAAGCATATGATAGTGTAGGAGTAACAAAATAATGACTCTCATCATTTAGCGTGTGATATCAGCGGAGACACATGAATGAGTATTTCTTATCACAAGATTACTAGTCATTGTGTGGAGAAACCAACAAGCAAATTCAACTCTTAAAAAACCCACAGAAAATTGAAAAGACCACATTAACCAAACAGTTAGCTAATTCCTGCAAGCTAAGAGCACCTATTAGAACTTAATTATAAGCTCATTAATAGACACAAATCACTTATAACACATGACTGGCTAGCATAGATTTTGTTTAAAAACAAGCTTAAAGAGATAAAGGACAAGATCTCACAGGTGGAGCAAGCCTTAATTTTCAAGTGCACAGATCTGAGCAAGGTCAATTTTGAGCAGAGAAGAATAGGGTTTTATTCTTTTCTCCAAGTCAAGAGAAGGGTCCAAGAACATGTAAAAGACAAGAGACAAGACAAGACAAAAAGACTAAAATAGATAAAAGAGGAGTTCAAAGTTCAATCCTCGGGAATTGTGGAACTCGAAGTTGTCGCTCGGACCAGATCCCGAGGAGAGGAAAGCTAAGAAGATGACAAATGAACGAAAATGGAAAAGGGCTGAAGGGAATGGAAAAACGATGAACTAATAGGGTTATATAAAGCCACTCCACCCAACAAATAGAGAGAAAGAAAAAGCCCTAATGATGAAGGATAATATTTTTAATAGAGTAGTAACTAGCTAGTGACAAGAGCTCAAAATTTAATTGATCATATATGGCGTCATTTTCTGTTTCTCTATTTTTTTGTTTTCCATTTGGTGTTCGGTATCTGCTTTGAGGCTGGACTAATCCTATTTCAAGTAAAGAAATCTCTTTTTAGGGTAAATCGCTCCCTACAAGAAATAATATCATATCCATAAATCGAAAAGTCGAACCTAAAGCTCTAATTAAGGATAGAGACATATTTACCACCCCACCACAATCTTGAATGGTTATTTTCTGTTTCTCTCACTTAGCAGAATTGTTGGGAAAGCTTTTGGGCGCCAAAAAAGGTGGCAAAAAAATTGGCACACAGCGTGTGGGCAACTGCCATCTCCACTCACCCACCATTGATAATGACTTTCTTATCTTTTTCCTTTTCTTTTAATTTCTTGGTTGTTTTTAGTTATAGTCATAGAGAGAATAACATGGAAGAGAATATTTTGTTTCTGTTTGAATGTCAAAAAGAGAGAGGAGGTAATGAAAACAGTTCTATGATAAAGAAATGAGGGTAAACGGGGGATGTCAAAGAGAGTAATGGCACCAGACCAATCAGCTTAATTGAATTTGCACAGATGATCTCCCGTAAGACCCTACAAAAAGGAACCCTAGTGAGATTGATTAATTCAAAATATGCAAGTAATAAAATCTTATCTTGGTTTTGTTCTTTTACAGAGGTGACGTAATGGAACAAAATCTTCAGGGAAAAGAATTTTAAGATTGGACAATATTCTCCTCATGTCTAAAAGAGGTAAATAAAAGGTGGCCCAAACAATTCAAACCATGGTCATTCTCCCTAGTCTCTACCCTTTCTTGTGAATTACTGAAAATACTGCTTACTTGGGACCAGCTGACCAACGAGCTAACCTCTTTTTTTTCGGGGGTGGGGGGTGGGTTTCCCACCCAGTATCCGTTACTTGCATTGAGACCTAACTAAATCAAATTAATTCGCGTTGGAAAATCTTACATTGAGGGGTAAAATGATCCCTAACAAATCTGACTCTATATTTAGGATTCAAATTCGAGACCTCTAGTTAAAAATGAAGGAATACTTACCATTCCACCACAACTTGGTGGACCTCTTGTTCTCACTAAAGACATTTCATGACTACTGAGGCATCATTTCTCTATGTCCAAATTTGCTTTACTTTTCTCTTTCATTTCTCTTTTCTTCACCTTTTAGGTTCTCCCGTGGATGGGGTTTTGTAACTGAATGCTAAAAGTTTGGACCTTTTCTTGTTAAGTTTGAAGATTGATTTAGTTGTATGAACAAAGCGGCAATGATTCGACTTAATAACCGATAGAGAATCATAACGACGGGAGTCTGGTAATATAATTATGGATTTAAGCTCTCTTTTTTCCCTTTTTCAAGTTTGAAGTTAAACATCTCAACTAATTTACTACTAATGAATTCCACCTTGCTAAAGAAACCAGCTTAAGCTATAATTATTAAAGTGTACCAACAAAAACAAAATTTGTATATAAGTCTCTCTAGAATGTTTACGAATCTTTTTAAGGATTAATTCCAATATTCTGTTGGTATGCAGTTAAAAGCAGAAGAAGAGGGAATGAAGAAATAAGCAGGCCGGAGTAGATATTTGGTTCCAAGTTGAATTAGCGTATGAAATATATAAATGTACGAGACATGATTGAAGTGTCGCAGATTGTTGTTGCCCGTGACTAATACGCTTCCTACACCACCACCGACTGTCATCATTATACAACTCTCTCTATATGGCTACTTAATTATATATGAGTATCATATATGTAAACCTAGACTGTTTCAGCTGATGGAGAGTCGTACGTGAAACGGAGCTTCAATCCCGTTCCAACAGTTTGTAATTTGGCCGTTCCGCGTTGCTATATATGTACCCTAAACTTATTGTCCTCATAACTATGGTATTGACAAAGTAAGATTTAGAAAAATAGGGAACCATAATTATGCTAAAAATCACGAAGACATTAATGAGGTCAGAGAATTCCTTCTTGATCAGGTGAAGTTCTTGTGATTAAAAATCGTGAAGAACAAGTTTGGCGGTTTTTGGTATAGTTCAAAATGTTTTACATAGAAAATAATCTGTGGCTAAGTTTTATATGATTTGGATAATACATACATGAGAGAGAGTATGGTGTTCTAGCGATAATTTTAACTGGAAAACACATTGAAAAGGAAAAACATGTTGGCTAGTTAAGCCAAGTAAATAGTAATGCGGCGGCTTGAGCTGGTAACGAGAAGGAGAGAAAAACGGGGAAATGACAAATGGGTGGAAAGCGGGACCCAGTGGAGGAGAAATGATGGGGGTGTTTGGAGCCCGTTCACGTTGCGGCTCTACAGGGTCTAGCGTGGGCTAGCCAGCATCATTAAGCTCACCTTCTGCCTTTGCGGGTCCCCGTCCCGTTACTCCACCATAATATATCACATGTTCCAATTTTGTTACCTTCCCATTTTCTCTCCATTATATATATTGTTATTGTTATTCCTTTCGTCCTATTATTATACTATTTGCACACGGCCAGAACATTTTGATTTATCGCGCAGTAAATAGAAAAAGTATTTAATTTATATAACGAAATAAGTGAAATAATTGTGTCTTCCACTAATGCAAAAAAATATTTAAGTCCACGGGAAATTTATATTTACCGTATCGTGATCATTTAGTTATCCTGGTGTTAGTGTCGTGATTTTATGTGATAAAATTAATATTGTCTGACTTTGGTGTTAAAGACACATAGTTATGTAGTAACTATTTGCGAAGTTTACCCAGATATCATATTAGATAGAAAGATATGTCAATTTTAACTTTTGGATAACCTTATTTTTGGGTCAGGAACCAAGAAGAGGTACAGTACATGTACACAATGAGAGATAGCTCCATACGCATGCAGCTGCCCATGTACATTATATATCTATCTACATCTACAATATATTAAAAGGAGGAGCCTTTTTAGCTAAAAGCCAAATTACTATATTACCCTTATTTTAGTATATTTATACGAATTACCTTCACTTAAATTGTTTTTTTAAAAAATCTCTTCGCAGTTCGCACCCTCTCCTCGGCAGACGCCTATTACCTTCATCGATCATCTTCCCAAACAGTTGCACCGGTTAATATCAGAATCCCATGACAGCTTTCTCTCAATCTAAGTTTTTGTCCATTAAAGCAATAGGTATATTTTTCAATTAGTCCTTTCCTACCCAATTTTTCCTAATCTCTTTCTATATCAGATTTTCGGTGCTATTACTATTTCATCTTCCCAGCCCTAAATCCTAGCCGCTATTTATCTTTGGAAAAGTTAATTTGTAAGTTCCTTGGTTTTGTCTTCTAAGTTACTTTGTTTTGTTTTTTCGTTGACTTTATTATAATTTTACCTTAAATGGTTTTTGAATCGTTGTTTACAGTTGTTCACCTGAGATATATTCTTTGACACGGTTAGAATTTGGAGATCATTTGCGTTGAATGAATTTGAATTTTTACGACTTGATTAAAGTTTACTTGAAATTGCTTTTTTTTGCCTTACTTTTTAAAGTTTTTTTTGTAGCCTTTGTTTGCTGTTATTGATTAAATATATAAATATAACTTCTACAGAAAATGCTTCATACCCTTCATAATGCCTTCTTTAAATTATGATTTAAATGGTTAGCACGGTAACACCAAATCAAGAAAACACAATTTATGGTGTGTTTATGGAGAAGAAGGGGTAAACATTCTTTAGCAATGAATGTGTTGTGAAGGACGCTGAAATCTTGTATAACAAACAAAACGGATTATTAGAAGAAGTATTTCTTATGAAGGAGTGGCAGAAGAAATTAAACAGATATTGACAAGAAAAAATCTTGAAAAAATCATCTCATATCTTATTGATCAACATGAGAAATATGAAAAATTCCGAAAGAATCCATATATTTGTGAATACACTATTGACTATTTTTTATTATTTGCTACCAAGGGTTAAGCGAACCAAAGGCTTCAGAAGTTGTCGGGTTCCTCTCAAACAGAAAAGAAGACAAACAAATTGTGCAAAGAAAGAATTAAAAACATTGTGGAACAGTCAATGGTAATAGGTTTTAGATGGATGAAAATTGCAAAAAATACTAGAGTCTCCCATCATGAATATTATTACTTCCAGTTGTTTCTAATGAAAATACTAATCCCGCACCTTAGTTCCTACACTTTCTTTGTACAATGTATCTATATTAAGTTGTTTTACAACGGTTAGATCAGTAGTATATATCTCAATTTTTCTTGTACTCTTGGCTTCGATGTATGTAAAATGCATATATATTGAAATATTAACTTAAACAAATATTAACTTAAACAACATCATAAGAAGACTGTAAAGGGGCAAGTGAACTCTCCAAAAACTTGACCTTATCAGAAGACACATGAAGATCTTCTTGGGTCTGGGTGAGTGTTTGAACAAGTTCTCCAACATAGACTTCTTTCTCGTTCAACAAGGCCCTTAAACCTCTGATCTCCTCGGTGGCTTTGGAGAGTTGTTCGGCAAATAATGACTCAAGGAGAGTTTTATCCTTGCATGCCTAGTTGTAAGAAGCTTTTTCAACTGCTAACTCCGAAGCCATGACCCTCAACTGCTGCTCTAAGGTACATTTGCTTTCTTCTAAAACTTCCATGTCAAGGTGAAAGCTTTCATATTGTTCTTTCCAATTGTCTACCTCAATTTGATAATCATGCATCAACTGCTCTATATGGGAAACCCTTTTCATCATCTCCGTACCAATGAGATTGATCTAAAAAAAGGGATAAGAATCCTGGTAAAAGGAGAATGAAATAAAGCATGAAAAGAAATTAATACCTTCATTGATGACTGCACGATATCATTCATCCAAGTCAGAGAAATATGACTTTCCAGT